ATATATATATATATATATGCTCATTAACCTGGCATATTCATTCTTCTCTTTCTTTCTCTTTCTCTCTCTCTCTCTATATATATATATCTATATATATATGTGTGTTTATATATGTAGGAATATGCCCATCTACAGGGTATAGAGTATATATACATATATATTTGTGATAAAAGCTTACTTTCATATGAACATCGTACCTTCTCTACATCTCGATGGTGGATGCACTCACTTCGCAAGATACTAAATTTTCCCACTCTGGGCTCCTACGTCCTGGGTTTGCATACAATAAGTGCTGGTGAGCAGACCAAAGTGAAGCCATTACTGCAATTCAGACTGGATAGAAAGCTACTTGTATGTTGCATGCTATGGGAAAGACAAAAACCTTCTGTGCTCGAGAAGAATATCAGCTTTCAAGGCACTAATCGGTCATGATCAAAGACCGACATCGTCGCCATGGCATCAAAGAATAAATCTCATTGGAGACTATTGAATAGCATCTACATCAACACTTTGAGTCAAGGACCATAAAATAGAGTTGGGATTTTCTCTGTAATTAGGTTTCGAGGCTGTCATTATTTGTTGCGTAAGAATTTTGTCAGTTTAGATTGCTTGAGATGATTTACGGACTAATTGTTGGGTTTCCTCGGATCCATGAATACTATAGAGTCGCAGAGCAAATGTGGCATCAGAGGCCAGTCAGACCTCTCTAAACCAAGATGTAAAATGAGATTATAGATGACACAAAGTTACGGTCGCCAAGGTTACTTTTTTTCGATATGAGAGCGTTTAGAAACCATCAGCATTAGCGAAGTTATAAGGTGTTTTGATGAGGTATATCGTCCATTCCAGACGAGGTTAGGAGAACTCCATCAGCCTCGGGAGGCTGATAGCCGTACAGACCTTAAATCCGATATATGAGTTGTGTTCACCCTATTTCATTTAAGATGATGAAGGAGCGGTAGTTAAATTTTCCCACAATCATATGAGTATAGCTGACGTTTATATTGCATTTTACATAGCCTTGCTTTCCCAGAAGGTGTTCTCATCCAGGATGGACTGCAGTCTCGACCTCGCCTCAATCTTATCAACATCCCCAGCGAGAGTCGAACCATGACAGTGCAGCGTGTAATCTCAACACGTTAACTGCTGGGGGTGCTGATAAGACCAAGGCGATGGCGAAGCTTCAGTCAACTCCTGCCTGATTGAGAACACCTTTTCAGAAGGCAAAGCAATGTGAAATTAATGTGCTTACTTCCATTTCGAGTGAAAGTGTTTGATGAATAATTTCAAAGTTCGATTTCACCAGAAGACGCAGCGGATTCCTCTTGACCGGCTGTCGATTGGCTTTACTGGAACATTCATGCTGACGCTGTTGCTGAGGCAATATCCTTCACAGGAATCAAAGAAGATTGCCTCGGAAACAGCGTCAGCATGAATGTTCCAGTTAATCCAATCGGCAGCTGGTAAAGAGGAATCCGTCGTTGTCTTCTGGTGAAATCGACCTTTGAATCTCTTCACAGAATGCTTTCACTCGAAATGGAAATAAGCACAACA